GGCACAATATTTTGTATGACAGTTTGTCAATATTTTTTTCAGATTTTAAAATGTGTGTACCCTTAACCCATCAGTTCCACTTCTAGTAATGTATCCCATAAATGTGTCAACATGTACATAAGGGTGTTTATCATAGCAGGTTTGTAATAAGAAAAACAAAATAACAAAACGAAACTGGAAGGCATTTAAGTGTTCACCAGTAGTCAGAGGACTAGTTAATTAAATTATGGTACAACTCTGTTATAGAGTGGAATACTTTTTTTAGTTATTCAATAGAAATAATTAGATTGGTTTAGATTGATACAGAAAGCTCTCTGAAATTAAGAGTAAAAGAAAACAGTGTAGCTTATGGTTTTAGTTTCCATTTGTGGTTTTAAAAAAATATACACTAGAATTTGTATATCAGAGTCTGGAAGGATGCACAGGAACCTGTCGATAGTGATCTTTCGAGTTTGGAATGTATGCTAGGTCGCGGGCTGTTTTCATTGTATATTCCCTATTGAATGGGTTGAATTTTATAATGGGCACGGGCAATTTTAGAATAAAAATCAATGTTCTTCTTTTGTTTATGTGCATTAATTATATTTTTCTTGGATTTTTCCAGATTTCTCTTGCACTTTGTTTTGTTTTGATGTTTGGAAACTCAATGTTATTAACTTCTTATTATGCTTCCTCTTTGGTGATTATTTGGGTAAGTGTTCTTTAAGTATATGACTCATGGCTGTTTTTGAAACTAATGGTTCATCAGTTTCCTTGTCACTGGCATAGAATCCGTGCCGGATTTTCTGTAAGAAGCATCTCGTTGTTTTCCTGCATGCATCTATGTGATAGAGTATTCAAGTACTCAGTTCCAGACCAGGAAAGAAACACAGGGATTAATATTGGAAAGCATAGCACCTTGCCTCAGAGTCTATTCTGCTCCTTCTCCTTCCTCATCTTTCTGTCCCAGGATTAATCTTAGAAAGGTTTCTATCTTTCTTTTTCCCCCTCCCTTCATAGTTTTTATCCAAGTCCTGCTCCACGCTGGCTCCGCACCCCCTCCTCCCCAGCTCCATCTCACAGCAGTCTCTGCTCTTTGTACCACTGGGATCAGAGGCTTGAGGCTTTGGTTTTGTAGGTTTTTCCCCTCCCCGTGTTTATTTGTATGAAATATTCAGATAATTTAAACCAGGTGATGACATAGTTATATTTTGCTAAGTCACTACAGATTTAGATTATCAGGAGACTGTCTTACTACAGAATTAGAACAAACGATGAAAAGTCGCCTAACTCCTCTGCCACTTTTCACAGAATGACTTTCTAATTATAAATCTTTTCGAATTTAAGGACTTTCCCGAGGTGGTAATGCCTTTTTTTCCCTATCAATTGCTTTCACCATTACAATGGTTTGCAGCCCTAAGAGGAGAGAAATTATTCCTTATATTTAAAATGTATGTGCGTTAGTGTGTAGGTCCGTTTCCTGAAGACACCAAAAGCGTGTTGCACTATCGTTATTGAAATGTATTCTTGAATAATCGTTTAAGTTACTCAGATCATCTTGGCTTTCTTGATTTCTAGAACTCATTAGCAAATCCGGAACCTCCTGTTTCTTCGCCCCGTTTTACAAATAATGTTCGTTTAAGATCTCATTGCCCAAGGATATGCGTCCTCTTCCCACTGTGGACTACCACCCATCCCAGGTGGTGTGCCCTGAGTATGCTTAGTCCCAGAAATGAGCAGTTAGCGTGCGGTGGCGCTGTGTTCTCAACAATGGCAAGAAATAAACGTTGGCAGCTGAGCTGCTGTGCTTGGAGAGTCATGACAGTTCTTCCAGCTCAGGAACTCTGGCTGGGATTAGGAGATGCAAAGATGTGCTCAGTTCTCTGTTTTGCGTGGGTACACGGGCAGGTCCCGCCACCACTCAGGTTAGAGCACATGACGCTGGGGACTTGTGTTCCGTTGAATGGAAGATCACGTGTAAATAAAATCTAGGTACATTTTGCAGGAAATTCCTCTTTCTTCAGTTGTGAACCTACAGTATGTCAGGTTTCCTATGGGGTCCTTGACACTGAGGTATACCTTAGATATGAGTTGTGCGTGTTTATGTATATTTCATATATTTTGGTATATAAAAATAAATGATGGCAATAGTTACAAAATATAGCATGTTTTTGCATATTAACTATAAACAAACATTTGCTTATTTTTATTTATAGTTAACACTTTGAAACCTGAATCATCACATTTTGTGTTCTCAGATATTCAGAAACTTCTGAAAAGATTTAATTTGGGTTTATATATTTATGTTTTGATCTCTAACCATATTTTTCTCAACTTTAAAGTGGATATTGATCCCTATAGGTACTGTATTTTGGGAGTCTATTATGTACCTGGAAAGACATAAGATTTGATAGAGGAAATGTATTTAGTCGACCCATTAAAAACTCATTTGTAGTTTATTCTAAGAGTTAATATTTAACTCAGGGAAAATCTTAGGACTATAAGACATCTGTCTAAAATTCTGAAATTGTTTTATACTTCTTGGTTCTTAGGTATATCAGGGGTATAAAATCAGCCATAAAAATTTATATACGGCGATTCTGTTTTCAACCTTACTAAGTCACTACCCTAATTTGCTACGGTTAAAATAGCACTATTTCTTGAAGTCAGTGAGCTTGTGGGGATGCTGTGTGGAACATCGACAATATACTGAATTTTAGATTCTTGAGGGTCTTATTATTTCAAAGTACTTTTTGGTGCTTGAATCTTTGTCTGTAAGTATTAACTGTATGTTATTTTCTCCGTGCAGAGTGTACTGGCAATGAAACCACATTTCTTGAAAATAAATGTATCTGAACTTAGTTTATGGGTAAGAATCAATCTATTTGAATGCATACATTTTTCCTTCTCTAAAATATGTCAATGGTTTTTTGTTTTACTTTTAAGGAAATGATCTATGCAGTGCAGAGCATCTGACAGTTTTATATTATATTATGTCTCAATTTTAATGTACCAAATTGCCCTTTCATAAAGCAAGTTAGTATTAATATTTGATAGGTAGTTGAAGAATTCCAGTTTTATTTATTATCCATGTTTTTTCTAAGGAGTACTACATGTGTAAGAAACTTAGTAGAAGGGGATTTTAACTGCAAAATCTATAAAATATGTTAATTTTCATAATAAGATTGTGTGTTTATGTTTTTAGTGATAGTCTTTTGATTTTGGAGTAACATTTGTTTTAACTTAAGGTGCATTTTTTTTTAACATTTTCTCTTGGTTATGAAGATGTTTATTTCACATGTGATTAGAGCATTTATTTTTTTCTTCTTAGATCATATCTATAGAATGGCTATATGAAGCATCAGTCTATTTATTTTTTGTTACATTTTTCTTTTGTAGGTTATCCAAGGATGCTTTTGGTTGTTTGGAACTGTCATACTGAAGTATTTGACATCTAAAATTTTTGGCATTGCAGATGATGTAAGTGCATTTTTGCTTAAACTTAAAAGATTTAAAAAAATCACACAGCCTACAAATGAATTTCTTGAGTTATTAAAATACCACTACTTAAACCAAATTCTAAGATGAAGTCTATTCATCTATTATTTTATCTATTTCCTATAATAGAAGGTAAATGTAACTATGTATATAATCTATATTCTCCAAAATTAACTTCTTGACATAATTATTTTATTGGTTTTTCTATATCTAAAGATTTGAAAATACTAAAGCAAGAAAGCTCTAGAGAGTTAAGCTCAGAGTTCAAGGTATATATAGCCATTTTCCTCTGGTTTCTTTATAATCCCCTTTTGTAACAGAGAAAGACTGTTAAAAAGCCTCTGAAACTGTCGATAATATTATAGTCTTATTCTTTTTTCCCTCAGTTTTCTAGTCATTGCTTGTGAAAGGTTTACTTATGAGCCTTTATATGTAATTTAATCCAAATTAACTTTGTTAAGATAAGTTTTTGTTGTTATTTTGTTTTGTTTTGCTATTTGGGTAGGAGAGAAAATGAGAATTCTGCTTTATAACTTTAAGGATTCTTCGTATCCTTAATTTTGCTTTGCCTACTTTACTTTGGTGTTTTAGTAAGCATGTTAATTAAACTTATGAAAGAAAGCAACACAAGAACCAACATGGAAAGAGCAAAGTAAACCACGTATTTTTTTTCTGTAATTTATTTTAGCTGGCTATCTTTCATCCTCCTGTAACAGATTAGAACCGTGGTTTTGAAATTGGGTTCTGTGAAACCTGGGACTTCTGTGGACTCTTCGTGGGGATCCTCACTTCCCAGCCCCCCTGCGCACCCCTCTTTCAGCAAGGCAGTTTAGTTTTAATCTCTTACCTATTGGACATTTATACAGGTTTTCATATGAACAAGGGATTTTTTTTTTTTTTTTTTTTTAAAAATGATTGAAAACAACTGAGCTAGTAAATAGATGATCTTCAACCTGTGGAAAGATTTTTAAAAGTATAAAACTATGGTCTAAAATGTGTTTATGTGTTCATTCATTCAGTGTGTACCTGCTGTGTGCCTGACAGCAGATTCATGCTAGAGATATGAAACTGAATAAGACAGTCCAGTGGGAGATGGGAACAAGGTCTGGCAGCTGTAATGCAATGTCATGGAAGCTGTGACACGCTTAGGTACAGCCGCAGGGGTACGCCAAGCAGAGTCACCTGCGAAGGGGAGGGCTGCGAGGTGACTGTGTCACCAGGATGCGGAGAAGGAGCAGAAAGTGCAGCGAAGCAGCCCACGTCTCAGGTTTTTGGAATCCGCCTCCTCACTGGGGCAAGACAAGCAGTTAGGATGTTGATTCAGGTCAAAATGACTATTGTCACTTCTGTCACCGGGGCCAAAAAAAATCCTCCCAAAAGTTACTTCCAAATTAGAAATAATTTAGTTGCAGCTTGATATTTCTGGAGATCTGTACCATCAGTCAAGGGCATTAGCTCATCAATTCTTAATTGTGACATTGGGTAAAGGAAGAAGATGACCAGGTCACATGGCCCTTGGGAAGCATTTGCTCCCGCCCTTCTCTGGTGACATAATTAGACGCCCTCCCTCTTCTTTGGAGACCGAGCGAGCCACTGCTCTGCGCATCTGGGCTTCCTTCCCTGCTCCTGTCTGTCAGCACTCTGGTTGGTGAAGCCTGATGTTGTCCGCAGAGAAGCTCAGAGCCCCATGGTGACAGAGGTGCCCTCCGCCCAGCACGTATCAAAATTCCAGACTCCCAGGGGAATGTAGGCGCTCGGCATAAACCACCTTGTTTGCGCAGCTAAGGTACAGCGGGCCACCATTGTCATTTGGGATGGTGGGAGCCTTCTGAAATCCAAGCTCCCCGATGCCAGCCAAGGGCCAGCCTCGCAAGCAGGCCTGCTGGGTTAACTCTCATCTGAACATCAAGTGTGTCCTGTCTTTTCCCACCTGCCACACCTTCCTGGGTCCTCCGGGGATCCCAGTCGGTCCCAGGTTCGTGGAGGGCTTGGGTCCTCTCGGGTCTCTCTCACACTCCAATCCACCAGGGGCGTGTGAACTTATCTACCCCTTGTTGGTTGTCTCATTTCCAGAATCTCTAAACTTTCTAGCTAGTCTGCCAGTCTGCTGTTTGCTGCACCAGTGTGCAACCGTGGGCTGGCAGAGCTGTGAGCTTTCGCCCGGCACTTTCTGAGTTTGCTATTTTTACTGACAGCGCCTCTGAGCATAGATTTTTTTTTTTTTCTCTCTGCCCCCAAAACACCTCAGCTCCCTCTAGTGGAAAAGGTTCTGCTTTTCCTGGCCAGTCCTTCCTGGTATAGCTACTGGGTCACCTGAGCGGAGGGAGAGGGTGGCACCGGTGAGATCGGCCCAGGCGAGAACGCCGGGTCCTGCCCAAAGCTCACCAGTGCGTTCTACGAACGAACGCATCTCCATTTGTTTCCCCTTTGGTCGGTTTCTAGAACCTGATACAGTTGTTTTTGACAGTTTTGTCCAATTTTATAGTTGTCGGGGGAGGGGATTTTCCACCTTCTTCCCCTGACTTTGTTAATCCAGCCTCGTATTCCTCGGATAACCTCACTTGCTCACGTTGTATTATTATTCTTTCTATGTATCGTTGGATTGGTTGGCTCCTGTTTTTAAGGACTTTTGACTATATTCACGAGGAATAGTGATCTGTAGTTTTATTTTCTTGTAATATTTTTGTCTGATTTTGTTTTGAAGGTAATGCTAGCTTCCTGAAATGATTGGAAAGTATTCAGTATTGAATTTTCAAAGAGAATTTGTGCAGAGTTGGCATTATTTCTTCCTTAGATGTTTGTTGGAATTCAACAGTGACATCCTCGTGGCCCAGAGTGTTCTTTGTGGGAGAATTTTTCTCCTGCGAATCCACTTCTTTAGGAAGCTCCTGGTAGTTCACATCTTTAGAGGACACTGACTCATTCCGGTTACATCTGTCATCAAATGGGTCATGTTTAAAAAAAAAAAAAATTATTGTAGGATTCAGTTAGTGAGAATTCTTATTGAAATTTTTACATATGTGTGAAATGGTCTTTTATGTTCTTTTATTTAAATTTCCTTATTTGGATTTGGAGTTAATATTATAATAGTCTTCTATAAAGAGTTGGTTTTTTTTTTTTTGCTATTTTCATACTTTATATTTATTGTATTAATATTTTCAAAGTACTGCCTTTTTTAAAGTCCTTTTTAGTTTTGTCTTATTTCTCTTTGTCACTGAATTCTGTCATTCTCAACTTCCTTCATTCTCATTTCTTTGGGCTTGTTCCATAGCTTTTTCTGATGCTTGAGGGAAAGTGCTTGGCTTTTTCGTTTTCAACCTCTTTTTTTCCAATAAATGAAGTTGTCAGTTTCTCGATAAGCAATACTTTTTTGTGTCTTACAAATTAACTATTTTATGATTTTCTCTTTTACCCTGAAGGTTATTAAGTTTTATGTTATTTAGCTTCTCACCGTTCCTAGTTATTATTTTCTAATTCATTCATTTATGATTGAAAAAATTAATTTGTATTATATCACTTTGAAATTTATTATGGCATGGTATGTGAACATTTTTTAAAAACATTTTACTTGTGTTCAAGGACAACGTGTATTCTGTCTGTTAAGGTTGTATTCCATGTTTGTGAGCTTAATAATATTCAGATTTTGTATTAATGTTTGTTTGCTTTTTCTATTTTAAAGGAAAATATTTAACATTTATCTTGAACACTGTTAACTGCAAAATATGTTCATGGTACATATAATCTTGCTTTGTTGTTCATTTTGCCAGCATATAATGTCATTCATTTTCTCTTTTTCATGTATTTTTTGCTTGAATTCAGTTTTATGAGACATTACAATTGCTAACCTAGACGTCAATAGTTCGGTCTCTCTGGTATAGCTTGTTCTCAACCTTCCTGCATATTTTTCAACCTTCCTGCATATTTTTGTTCTAAGTATGTCTTTTTAAACAATATAATGTTGGATTTTTTCCCCTTTAATCCAATTTGAACATCTGTCCCTTAATTAGTGAGTTTAATGTGTCAAGGTAATTGTCATTATATTGGGACCTAATTTCTTCCATTCTATTTAGATTTCTCAGCTGTTTTACTTGCTTTTTAGATTTCTTTTCTCCTTTTCATTGGACAGATAGTTTTCTTATGCTATTTTAGATGCTATATAGTCTTCCAATTGATTTCTTAAACTTATTAGCATGTATTTCTTCCCTGTCAAGACAAAGTATTTTGAAATTCAGTCGTACATTCTCACCCGCCTTTAGTTTCTGCTCTTACCCGGACCCTCCCCCTTCTTCTAGATGTCGTTTGAGAGTTTAGTTATGGTGCGTTTTAGGTGTGATTCTCCCCTCCCCCGCTTTTCTTGGGTTCTTGCTTTTTTAAAGTTGAAAGTTTGGCAGATGTTGTCTCATTCGTTAAATGAAAACCATTCCACCTTCCTCACATGGCTTTTGTGGGAGTAGATGAGGTGACCTACATGAGGGCACTTTGGTAGCGTAAAGAATTACACACATGTTGATCGTCAGTCAAAAGGTGCATGCTGTTCCATGGCCCGCCCATTTGCTGCTTCCTGTAAAAAGTCTTTTCAGTCCCCTTTTCAGAAATCTGAGTTAATGTTTCCTTTTCTTTACTCTATCACACCTTGTTCCTTGATGATAGACAGACGTCTTTGGGTGTTACCACGCCCACCTGTCCCTGTAGGCTCCAGCAGAGGAGCCGTCCTGCAGCCAATGTCCCCAGGTTTAGAACACTGAGCAGGGAGAAGCCAAAGATAAAGGACGTGTTTGTTGACGACCCATCCTGGAAGGTCGTCGGAGCTATCATTTGTCAGCAGAAGAAGGGAGTCGCAAAGTCGGGGTACAGGGCTTTCACGTTTACGGCGAGCTCTATGATGCCGTGAAGACTGCTTTTAGATGTTATTACGGTTAAAATACGTTATTACAATATAGAGCGTAATCTAACGGTACCTCATTTTTTCCCTTACTAGGCTCATATTGGCAACTTATTAACATCAAAATTCTTCAGTTACAAGGATTTTGATACTTTATTGTATACCTGCGCGGCTGAGTTTGACTTTATGGAGAAGGAGGTAAGATGTGATTTCTAGGTTGTTTCCTCCCCTCGTGTTCTGGTTCATCGATTTTCATAAAGGGCGCTCCTCTTATTGCACACTCTTTGCTCTGTGCTGTCATTTCAGTTTGAGGGAAAGAAAAATCTGGCAGCTGAGAGGAAGATGTTCCTATGTACATTCGTATAGCTCCCTGAAATGTATGACCTTTGCTCATTTTAGTACTTTAGAAGCCTGCGTGCAGACCAGCAGTAGTTTTTTGGATAAGTAAATACATAGGCCTTTCAAGTTGCTGCTTTTTAGGGGAAAGCATTAATTCAGTGAAGCTTAGGCTCTTACATTTCCCTCACTCTGTGGTGGTTGGTTTGATCGCATTGCTTCGAAATATCATTGAGTACAAGTTTTTCATTCCAACAATATTTTCCTTTCTAAAACTATATTCAGATGTTTAGGAGGAACCCAGAGAGTGGTTTAGTGGATTTTGAGACAGAAGTCTGTAATAGTACTTGCTGTTTCTGAACAAGTGCCTCTCATTCTTTGTGTCATAGCTACCCATTTCTAGTAGTATATATACTACAGTTAATGTGAGGACAAATTGAGATACATAGGAAAATACTTTGATATTTTATATAACATTATTTTGCAGTACTTTATGAGCTGGTTTGGTTCAACAAACATGTATATATGTATCTTTTTTAACACCACCCACGTGGCCCTGACTTATTATCTGTGAAATGTTTCCTTTCAAACCTGTATGTGTGTATATATTAAACTGACCAATGGTTCTCTGTTGACGTATTCTGGTCTCCCCGCACTCCCACTGAGTTACAGACCAGTGGACAGTAGTGTCCACACAGCAGACCTCATCAACCAGACATGCTGAGTTGAGCCTGTCCTGCCGATGTACGGTTCGCTCCAGCGCCCTGTCCATCTTCATTCCCTGTGTTCTGGGAAATGCTTTTGACACACAGTGGCTGATGAAAGTATGATAGCGTTGGCACTGCTGAAAGTAACTAAGGAAGAGTATCTTAAAAGACATTAACATGCATGTTCATAGCAGATCAAGACTACTTCAAGAAAGTAATAAAGGAAGTACAGGGTAAGCATCAGAGAATCAGGACACAGGAGAAGTCCTTTACCGTTAACGAGAAGGTTCATGCCGCTACACCCTGAGAGTATGAACCATCAGCTGTGTGATAGAAGAAATGTGTATTGAGGCATACATAGTGTGACTTCCCCCATTTCGCAGAAAATGGCAAAGCCGTTTCCAGCCTGCTGTTCCCCTTCTCCATGGGTACCTTCACGGGGACTGTGCTGTAGAGACGGTGTGGTGCCAGTTCAGAGAGTGCATCCACTGTATGGTTCATCCATACGGTGGGGGAAAGGAAGCAGTTTAACATGATATCTTACTGATGTCGAAAGACACTTAAGATGTATATATGGAGTGAGCAAAACGGTACGATTTTATTTATAAATAACACACATAGAATAAAGTGTAAGAACAAAATTTTAACAATGGTTTTTGGGTGGGAGATAATCAGTAATTAACTTTTTTTTTTGTAATTTGCATCTTCTAAGTTTTTTATAGTAATCATATATTGTGTTATGCTATTAAAAGAAAATATAAAACAATTAGGGGGAGTTTTCCTTTTTAGATGTGAAAATGGATAGAACAGTATTTAGAGTACAGGGATCCCAAGACAGGAACATTTTTATAACCCAAAATTGACAATGCTGGATAGACCCATGTGTATGTACTTCACTATGTTTGTGTACGTACTTAACACGAAGTAAAGAGAGCATCACAGATAAATGGATAAAGAATGTATTATTTCATGAATATTATTTGAAAAATCGTATTTGGAGTGGGGAGTCAATTTAAAGCCTCGTATCACGTAATACACCAAACTTCATTTCAGTTAATTAATAGTTTAAAAATTAATGAAGCCTGAAAAATAAATTTGCGAGACATTTCATTGATCATTAACTCCATTTTTTGACGGGCATAATACCAGTGCGAAATGCGTGTGAGAATGATTAATCGATTTGTCTGCATGTAACTTAAAACATCTGTACATTAGATATTGTAAACATTGAAAAGCAAATGACTAACTGGCATGATTCTTGCCATAAATATAAAAAATGAAACTAGATATTAATGTAATTCGTAGAGGAGCCAATCAAGAAAAATTTACCCAGGACTCTCACCCTTCCCCCAGCACCCAGCACATCCCCAACTTCACACACACGTGCAGAACGAGGAGGGGTATGAGCACTCAGCCCACGGCGGGGGAAATGCTCACAGCCACCTTCACACACACGTGCAGAACGGGGGAGGGTGTGAGCACACAGCCCTCGCAGAGGAAATGCTCACAACTGACTGAAATGTGAAATCGATCGTCGCCTATATTTTTTCTACATTGTCTACTTTAACAGTGAGCCTATATAACTCATTATATATGCTTAGAATAAAATCAAGAATTACAAAGAAATATTAAAATAAAGGGACTTGTATTTAGAACACGTGCACATACGCACACACATCTCTCACTATGTGGCTTGTTTTATTTGCATTTGTTCTCGTGCGGACACTCTGGTATATCTTTAGATATTGAGGAAGTTTTATAATTTTTTTTTATTAATACTTTTATATGTAACCTTAGTCCCTTCTGTTGATCACTTTTTGCCCCTCCCTACTTCTCACCCACTACTAATTTATTGTAATACTGTGATCAGTGAGATTATTTTATTTCCTGTGTACTTTTCCCCCTCGTACCCCGTTTTTAGGAGTCCCATTTTATCTTCAGCGTCAGCACATATAACCACTCATGCTATCCTGTCACCTCTGTTTCCCCGTTATCGTCATAGTTCTGTAGGTCGATGTTTTCAGAGCTCACCATGAAGCCCCTCCTGCCATTTCTCAGATGTGCGAAGCTTGTTCTCCAGTGGATTCTTTAGGAAGGGCTCATAGCAGCAAATATATATATTTTTTAAAATAATAAAATAGTTTAAGTTATTTGATTTTTGCTTAGATTAAGACGATTTAAAATTTACAAAATAAATATATAATA